CAGTTGAGATACGAGGTACTAGCTAGCTCCACACGGGATAGGGGAAAATTGTGCTGTGAATGGATATTTTCCAGCCTGCTATTTCTTTCCTCCTGCCTTTAAAAAATGGTCCGCTCTTCAGCTAATTGAGTTCAAAGGGCTGACGTCATTACATTTCCTGGAATCGTGTTTCAGCGGGGAAGTGGAAAAGTTAAACTCCAAGTGAGCTGCACATTGACGTCAGCTCCGAGTCATGTTGTGATTTAGTCAGTTCCTTTCTGCTTTGTCAAGCGCTGCGGACTGATCACAAGTTTGTTAACTAGTTCACGACCGCCTCTGGCTGCGGGAACGTCCTCAGACCGAATAGCATTTCTCGTAAGTCTGACTTTAGCATTTCTCTTGTGGTATCTGCTGGAAGACGGGGAACACATTAGGACACTGTGTAATGCTTGCATGAGCACAGCTCAGGGGCTGTCTGGCAAGTTAAGTGGTAAAGTACCTCCTGCGAGGCTGCCCCTGCACCTGCCTAGTGACAAATGAGCTATATTTAGGCCTAGATTTTGGTGCTTGCTAGATCTATAGGAACTTGGGATTCAGAGTGCCCTCTAGTGTCCAGTGGGGGACGTGCTTGCCTTTCATTGTTTCCTCAGCCTCTTCTATTTAAGCTTTGTAATTCGTTCATTAGGTTTTGCTTTCCTTCGTTAGAGATAAGTGATTTTGAAAGACTGAGTTACCAGTGACCTTTGTATGGTTGCAACATTGTTTATTCAGTTGGGTTTATTTGTAACCTAGTTTTGAATTTGCAGTTGAATTGAGAATAAAGAGGATTACATGGCTTCCCCACAATTTAGCTTGTTAGAGTCAGTGGGCCTCTGCCCTCATCCTGGATTGAAAAAGACTATTGACTGCTTCGGCCAAGAACAACTTGCATTGAATTGTTTCTAAGATGGTCTTTGAGGAGCTATTATTTTGTCAGTATTGGAAGTCTATAGATGTACTGTAGTTTGCAGAAACTCTGGAGTGACTGATGGGCCTAAAATAATCAGACACTATGCAATATGAATCTTAAAACTAAGACTTTTTTGTATATGAGTTTATTTTAGAAAAAGTATTGGTTGATTTCTTTCTTTTAACCAAACTTCAAGTTTCTATTCACCACTTGTCAGAGCAGGAGAGAAAACAGTAATACAAAATAATAATAATAATAATTAAAATACTGAGTATATTTAGAGGTGAATTATTAAGGAATGCATTTATATTAAACTTTAGCCATTGCCTGGTGATTACATGGTCACATATATTTATGTTGGTAGGACAAACATAACATCTTGGAAGCATTTTCTTCCTATAGTTTTTTTTTTTTTTTTTTACCAGTACTAAGCCACAGTTTCAAATTAAAAAAAAAATTTCCAAATACTAAAACTTATAAATGTTGAACAATATAGAACATTCTTCTCAAGGCCTGACTGTAGTTTGGAAATGATTACTCTTAAGAACCTGTCACTTCTCACATTAATAATGACATTTGGAAAGTGCCATATTAAAAGCAATAAATGAAATTTACATCCCTTGTTATTAATGAGTGAAAACTACACACAATTTAAGAAATTTTCAGCAGTGTAGCAGAGAGGCTACACCAGACCTTTGGATTCTTGGCTCTGTGCTAGTCTGGGTTGTCAAGCTGAGGAAATTCTTTTAGATGAGTGACTTGGAAATCTTTGGCCACGATCAGCATTTTATGTCATGACACAGTGGCATGTGTGTCTTTCTCTGAATTTATGAGAAGCAAGTTTCATACACAAAAGTAGCACAAAAACATACATTTCTTTCTGTCTTGTTTTCTTTTTCTTTTTGCTTTAAATGTTAGCTTGATCCACGAAGTTAATTTAATGATTCGTGGACTATAGTGTATGCCTGAGATCCAGGCCTAAATCAGACTCTAATGTTAATGATTAACATTAAAGACCATTGTAGCATCTCTAATATGATCATGGAATACAATATAGGAATGATATTGTTGCTGGGTGGTGTTGGCACATGGCTTTAATCCCAGTACTCAGGAGGTAGAGGTAGGTGGATCTCTGTGACTTTGGGGCCAGCCTGTATATAGTACAGAGTTCCAGGATAGCCAGGGCTACAAAGAAACCCTATCTCAGAAAAACAAAAGCACAAAACAAAACAATGATATTGTTGATTCTGTTGGGTATAATCTAAATTTGTATTGTCTTTTTGTTTGTTTGTTTGTTTTATTTGTAATTATGTTAGGAGCCTAATTTCCTGTCTTAGATCCTGGGTTGTAATGCTATATTCAATAGGGGTTTCAGAATTGTTAAACAGACTTTCCAACTATTCAGATTTGGGAAATAATGTGTTAGCATTTGATGCAGGAAAGCAGGTAATACATACCACCTTTGTGGTTCCTGTTAGGAAAATTTAACACAAGGCAATGGTTTTGGTTAGGGATTAACTTTTCAAGTTGGTATTAAAGCAAATTATACTTGTATTGGAAGTAGATAGAAGAGTAACCTGCCTTGTGTTCAGTAAGTCCTTAAAGCTCATAGAACAGTTATTCTGTCTCTACTTGGTGAATTCATTTTAATGTGATGTTTGGGATAGTTATTTTACTTTTCCCTGTCATATTTACCTATCTGAACGTATTGCCTAATAAAGTAACTGTCAAAACTTTTTCATTTATGTAAATATGTATAAACTATGTAAACTATTTATTACAAGTAAGCATAAATACAAATTAAAGAAAGAGTTAGCAAAGTACTCAGATAAAGTAGACACAGGAAGGAGGAAATACAGGTCAAAGCACGGGGGACCCACATGGAGGAAGCTATACCAAACATTGGAAAAGGAGAGGCACTCACATTCTTGCTCACTGACCACACAAGGCATGTGCTACTGCACAGATAATGGTGATATGAGGAATGATCAGAGAGGGCAGGCACTCTTCTGAGTTACAAAGCTAGCCAGCAGAAGCAGCTCCAGTCTTCACAGTCCCTTGGCTCTGCTCATACTCTGCTATGCTGTCCTCAAATTCACCTGACACTGATAGATAAATGCTAATGTAGCATGGGTCATATTAGCATGGTAGACACAGCTGTTAAAATGTATAAAATGAAGCTAGCTAACACCACTTTTAAGTAATCAAAATGTTTTTTTTTTCCCCTAGACTTTTTCTTTTCTGACAAGGCAATAGGGCATTTATTTGTCTTTCTGTAATACCTTGAATTTCAGTATTCATAATTTCCCATCTTTTTCATAGATTTCATGGCTTTTAAGACTTTCATTGACTAAACAAGCTAAGAAGTCCCTTTATGTGTAACTTGGGTTGAATATGGTAATTTTTTCACATTGTATATAAATACAATAGTGTCATATAATAGTATATAATTTTAAATTGTTGACTATACCTCAAATAAGTAAAAATGGAGATATTTATTTAAAATTTTATTTATTATTAGTTTGTGTGTATGTGTGCAGGTGTGTGTGTGTGTGCGCGCGCACATGTGCCACTCATGCCATGGCATACATGTAGATGTCAGAGAACAGAGTTAAAGAGGTGGTTCTTGTCTTCTTGGGATCTAGGGGATCAAACTCAGGTTGTCAGGTCTGCATGATAAGCAGTTTTATATCCTGAGCTGTTTTGCTGACCTTAAGCTGAAAACATTTAATGACTTAGTTTTGTGCGGTCTATGTGTTATAGGACTTTATAAACAGTTGAAAATGTTCACTGCTTGCTTAGTCACTTTTATATAGAATTTTGTTTTCCCAGAGAAAAGGGAGCAGTGGGAAGGGAAATTTCCTGACAGAGTGGTATACAAGGCACAGAGAGGGCTGATGTGGGAGTTGGGTGAGGAAGATGCCAATAACTTTTGGAGTTTTGAAAAAGCCACTTTTCCTCAGTTACAAGTATGATTGTTAGGTTACCTCTATTGTTTCCTGAGGTGTCCTTAAGATCACTGAGCAGAACTCCTGGAATCCAATTGCAGAGAGGGAGGAGTGATGAGCAAATGGGTTAAGATCAGGCTGGAAAAACCCACAGAAAGAGCTGATCTGAACAAGAGGGAGCTCATGGAGCCCAGTCTGGTAGCTGGGAAACCAGCATAGGACCAACCCAGACCCCCTGAATGTGGGTGTTACTTAGGAGGACTGGGAAGTCTATGGGGCCTCTGGTAGTGGATCAGTATTTATCCCTAGTATACGAATGGACTTTGGGAGCCCATTCCACCACATAGAGGGATACTCTCTTATCCTAGACACATGGGGGAGGGCCTAGGCTCTGCACCAAATGATGTGACAGATTTTGAAGATTCACCCATGGAAGGCCTCACCCTCCCTGGGGAGCTGATAGGGGTTGGGAGGGGGACAGGAGAGGAGGAGAGGGTGAGGGAACTGGGATTGACATGTAAAACAAGCTTGTTTCAAATTTAAATACAAAATATTGTCATAAAAAGATTAATGATGCATACTGAAATGACATAAAGTGAGGAACTTTGGTACAAATGATGGATTATGTCCATGATCCCAATACTCTGGAGGCTGAAGCAGAAAGATTATGTCCCCAAACAGCAAGGCAAGCCAACGAAGTGCTTGTATTCAGTCAATGTGCACCTCAATAAATAACAGAATAAAATGACAGGTCTTTTGGGGTGTTGACAAATAGCTTCTCTTTGGAAGCTATCAGAATAGATGTTTGGGGGTATTTGTTACTTAATGTCTTTCTGTTCTGACTTGTTTTTCCTAAGGACTAGAAGTCATATACTTTGATTCATTAGATTTGTTAGGAGGGCAACTTCTAATGGGAAGAATTATTGGTGGTGTTATAAGCCTTTTAGCTAAATATAGTATAAGTGTAATTTAGAACACTGTCTCTCAGACATGAAGGGAGGGGATTGGAAGGGAATTAGTGCATCACCTGTCTGCTATGTGCCAGGCACTGCGCTAGACATTTTGACGTACATTATGGGGTTTCTTGTGAGTATGAAATGAGATAATGTATCCCCATTTTACAGATGAGGAGACTGACCTTGCCCCAAGTCACATGGCTGGTAAGTGAGAGCTGGACTAGAACTCAGACCCCAAATCCAGTGCTTTTTCTTCCGTACCGTGTTAGAGCTTGACAAGCGAGGTATGAAGTTCATGATCAGAACTGACAGCTCCAGAAGTTGTTTTTCATGCCAGGAGTTAGACGGTTGGAAACACATTGTCAGAACCCCTGCCTCTAAGCTGCTAGGTTAGGTATACCTATAGAGTGGATAAATAAGAATCTGGGAAAATGATAGGCTGATGGATGTTTACTTGGGGGGAAATCACTTACACCAGAAACATGACTGCCAGCAGGTTCGTGTCCCAAGGATGCCTCTAGATGCTCGCTGTCTCCAACCAGGAAGCAAGAGAGAGAGCAGGGGTCCAGGACCCCAGACCTAGTCCCCTCAGGTCACACCTGTACCTGTCCCCACACCCCAATTGGCATGGTCAGTGCAACAGGTATGGGCAGGGTAGATATCTCACTACATATACCTAAAGTGTACCAAGGAAGAAAAATGCCTTTTGTCCAGAAATGCCAGACTGAGTGAGCATGGCATCTCATGGGACTTTTTACAGCTTTGTGTTAAAGACACAGCTACAATGAAATGTCCATATCCACAGCAAGACAGCTGATTAAATACTCCAGAGCTCAGCATGTCTGTGCAATACCCTAGGGAGTTTAACTTGACTCAGTAGGGAACACATAAATCCATTAAGCACCCTGCATACAAAGTCCTATGCTAGATTCCATGGCAGGAAATGAAAAGATACTGTTCTTGACTTGTCTGGAAGTTCTTGCCTGCCTGAGAATAAACCTGGGCTATACTATTACAGCACAAGCAATTTGTCTTATTATTTATCTGTAGTCATGATTTTTAAGCCCTACACATGACCTATGGATTCTCAAAAATAATAAAAATGAAACTCTAAAGTCAGGTGTGGTGGCACCTCATCACTTAGGCTAAGGCAAGAAAATTGAAAGTTTGATAGAAGGATCTTACCTTAAAAACCCCATAGAAAAATAGATTGGACACTGTTAGTACTTAGATGGGAATAGGAGTTGGGTTTTATAAATAGTGCATGAATAAAATTATGTCACTGGAGAATGACATAATTTTTTTTGAAATTACCACTAAATTTATAGACACTGATGTTAAGATAAACATATTTTCATAACCTGTTTCAAAGAAATGTATTTAGAGTCCCTTAAAAATAAAAGTCTCTTTCCCCCATCATTTTGGTGTACGTCACTGAGATTACATTTGCATATATAAAATTTATTCATTAACCCTTGGAAGCATATCACAGGGTCTTTGGTTTGAGGCAGGAATCTATTTTAACTCCTAGTTTATACTAATTCCTACCTCTTGCTTGAACTAGTAGTTGTAATCCTGACTTGTGTTAAAACAAATAGAATGAATACATATTTGGAACACAATGAAGCCAAGCTTCCCTTATCTCTCAGATAAGGAAATATACCTGATATTCCTAATATACCTGATACATCATCACCGGCAGAGGCAAGGCAACTAAACTGTTGCTCATCAGGTTTGAAGAATGCCTCATTTGCGATTGCCTTGTCCCTCTTGTTACCAAGTCTGGCTCCTCAGACAGCTGTAGCTTCTGCAGACAGACAAAAGGGTTTTTGTTGTTGTTGCTTCTAATACTGTCTCATATCCATTGCATTTGTGAAATGTTTCTGCCCACCTTCCCTTAAAAAATGAAAAGAGTGCCCTTAGCAGCTTTTATAATCCTGTTTTCACATATTACAGAAAGTACCCAAGGTATACATTGAGAGTACAGTGAAACGATTTCTTCCTCCATTTCACTCCTTTCTCTCCTTTTCTTTTAGAAAAGAAGAATCTTTATTTAGGGTATGACAGTGATAGAAAACCCCTCACCCACTGTGCACATTTCTAGTATTGTTTTTTACACTTGTTTATAAGCAATCTCAAAGAACGACTGGAAGCAGGTGTGCTTTCAGGCTGCCAGCAAGACGCAATTTCAAGGCCATGTAAACTTCACCCTCGTCACTGGCTATTGTGCTGACTTTAGGAAGCCAGAACAGTCTCTATCTGGGGCATTGTTTCAGCATTTATTGACTTATAACCTCCTTCCTTGGATGTGGGTAAAGAAAAGTGGGAGGGCTGTGGCCTCCTGTTCCAGCTCTTATCTCCTCTCACAAAATGATCAACAGAGTAAGCAGATGCTAACACAATAGTTTTTCTGTTGTTTTCTTCTTAAATATTTAAAACTTGCACATCTGATGAGATTTCCATGTGCACGGTGTTTGCAATTGTCAAGAAAATAAATTTAGGACTTTTCCTCAGGAAGGCAATTTAAGAACTTGACTGTGTTTCTTCCATTTTTCCTGTTGTCTTTAACCGAATCTACAGCCCGTTAGATTCCTTCCCTCGACTTAGCCTTTTCTTTTTCCCTTTACTTTTTTTTTTTTTTTTGTTGTTGTTGAAAGGCTTTGAATATGTTTCAGGTGTAGGCTCAGGGACGTCCCAAGTGGAACATTCAGAGAATGGTCATGTCCTGCTTCGAGTATTTGTGATGATATACAGGAACTGTCTTCTGCTGGCTTGCTAGAGTCAGATGTTAACTTTGAGGGCCTGTGTGAGCTGGTTGTGAAATGGCTGTTATTAACATAGTTATCAGTGTACATATATGTTCACACACTTAAATAGATTCCATTAAAAACAGTGACAGTATCCAAATGCTCATCATTTGTAATAATCTTTAGGTTTTTGTCCATTTGTGAACATCTTTTCCCAACTTGTCACTGACTGAGGTAACATTGGTATATTTGAACTGGCCACTGTGAAAGTGTTTCTGCTGTGTAACTCACTAAACTCTGCAGAGCAAGGCTCTCCACTCCTGCTCCAAAAGAACAATTCCTTAGAGTTATCAGCACACCACCGATACAGCTAAATGAACTGTAATTGGAAAGCTTATCTGCTCTAGCCTGAGCTAAAATGTGCTAAGACATTTTCTAAAATGTGAGGACAAACTAAAGCATTTGTAGCTTTGTTCTAATTTGATAAATAAAATTCTTGATATTTAAGACCCCTATAAGAATAATCATTTTATGTCTACAAAACAATCTCTACTGACATGTACAAACTATACTATTTCTAGGTTAATTTTATGTCAAATATTAGCTAGTGAATTGGCGATATAAGCTTGTAATACCTTGTTTTATTGCAGCTGCCACAGGGGACATGCCAACTTACCAGATCAGAGCTCCTACTACTGCTTTGCCACAAGGAGTGGTGATGGCTGCCTCACCAGGAAGTCTGCACAGTCCCCAGCAACTAGCAGAAGAAGCAACTCGCAAGCGGGAGCTGAGGCTGATGAAAAACAGGTAAAGTACTGGGTAAGAGCCAGTCAGTCCTTTAGTACAGCCACCATAGGAAGCATCATTTGCTGCCCCGTGCTCTTAATATATTAACTTGCTCTTGCTAAGCTATTTCTTGAATTCAGTGTTCTGTGGCTTCATGTGTGTGCTCTGCCTGTGATGCTAATTTGTCTTCTAGTGAGTTCCTAGTCATTTCCTAAGCAGGAGATACTTTCCTTTATATTGTAAGGGATGTCAAAAGATATGTTTTTTTTAAAACAATATTATTAGATTCTTGATTATAAGTAAAGCTTGTTTTATATATTTTGCTGAAAAGTATTGTGACAAGTAATATAAAAAACTTTATTTTAATTTAAATTTTAGCACCCCTCCCCCAAATCGGTATTGTGGATAAATCCTAGGACCTAGGGCATGCTAGGTAAACATCTCTGATCCTTATTTTTTTTTTAGCTTTTTTATTAGCAGAATAAATTTAAGTGTTAAAGCATTTTAAAAATTTTGTCATTTTAGCTATTTTGTGATGTTTTTACTCCATTGTGATGAGGAATATGGTCTTTTGACAAATTGTAGTAAAATATAAATACACAATAACAAAAATCATTCATGCTCCCGCCACTGTTAGTGTTAAAGTAGATGGGCTTACAGTCCTCTCTCTCCTCCTTCTGTCCTCCTGCCTCAGCTTCCTGAGTCAGTCTCTTGAGTACCACTACTTCTCTCATTTATTATTGCTCAATACCTCTGTGCCATTGTTTAGGCATTAGCATATCATAGGAAAAACAAGTTTAAATAATATTTTTTATATGACTTGCACAGTAATGTTTTAGTTCTTATTATGGAGAATGATACAACTTAATTTGATTTCAAAATGAAGAGTTGCCTAAGAGTTTCCCAGTATATGTCATTGTTCCTCAGTGTTAAATTGTATCCTTATTGCAAGAAAATAAAGCAGTTAGGCTAAAAGAAAATAAAGCGTTTAGGCAGGGTGGGCTGCTTTGCTTGTCAGTGGCAGAAGCAGACCATAGTTATTGATTCGTCCGATGTTACCAACCTAGTTAATCTACAGATGTGGCAGCTGAGTTCTTGAAACTCAATTCTGAGCTCATCACTGTCCTGTAATCTGGAACCCGATTTAGGTGATTATGTTCATTGATTAGCGGTCATTTAAATAACAGTTGGGGAGCTAGAGAGACAAGTTAGCAGCTAAAAGCATCTAGTGTTCCCTAAGAGGACCTGAGTACTATTTCCAGCAACTGTATCAGGTGGCTTGTAACTCCAGTCCCTTTTAGCTGGCTTCTGTAGACACCCATGTATGTATGCACACAGGCATTTGTACATACACACACACATGAACACACACACACACACACACACTTAAAATAAGGACTGGAGAGATGGCTTAGTAGTTAAGAGCATTTGCTGTTCTTGCAGAAGACCTGGGTTTGATTCCCAGCACTTGGGAGGCAGAAGCAGGTGGATATCTGAGTTTGAAGCCAGCACATATAGAGTGCTAGGCTAAACAGGGTGACAAAAACAAACAACAACCAGAAGTAGGATTATAAAAACAGAAACATTTATCAATAGTTTGTCTCAAGGCATATTTTTTTCATTAGCAGTATTGTGCTCAGAAATCCAGAAGAGTGGCTGGAGAGATGGTTCAGGAGTCAGCAGTGGCAGTGGCTTTCATGCCTTTGTAGTCTGGTCACCATTTCCTGTTATTTTGACTTTGACTTTGAGACTGTCTCACTATGTGGTAGAGGCTGGCCTCAAACTTGTGCTCCTCCCGTCACCTCCTGAGTGAAGGTGGCACAGGTGTGTGTGCAGCACACTGGGCTCTTGCTCTTTTTCCCATAGTTTGCCTTGCCGTTCCCCTCTATGCTGAGGATGGACTCAGCCAAATCTGAGCCTGCGAGCTGAGCTAGCTATTAATAGAAGAAACATGTGTTCTCCATAGCTGAGAATACTTAGGGATGTACCAACCACTTGTGTGATCACTAAAACTTTGTGCCCGGGACGTTTTGACTCCAGTCACATCGTACACACAATGTAAGATGTGAAGTGTGGATATTTACTGTAAGAAGCTCAGTAATAAGAGTTTAAATGCTAACTGCCCACAACACTGCTGCTGTGTATTTAAACTTTTATTTAATGTTTGTATAGAAAAACTATCTTCCTTCTAGATTTAGAATTTAACATAGTGATTTAATGATGAGACATAGATACTTATAAATAAATTTCAATTTCTTGGAGGAAGAGTATTGTTATACTCCCCAGGGGGGCAGATTTGTGTGCTCGGACATGCTGCCACTTTCCCCTGTGCTCCGCCAGGCTCCTGTAACCACTGCTCTGTGAAGCTCCATTCACTTCACATGTTTTAGTTTTCCATGACCTAGTTGTCCAACCTTGGCGAACTCACAGCGTGAGTAAGTACATCATTCTGGGTTAGGAAACAAGGCTTGTTCTTTTCCTGCAGCCTGTCAGTGTTTCAACATTCCTGTTTGGGGACTTGCTTTGCATAGAGGAAATAGAAATCTAGTCCATAAGAGTCAATTCTTCAAAAAAATGCAACAGTTGGCCAAGTCTGTCACATGTGTCACAGTTGGGGATTAGCATTTCTGACTGTCATTTTGGCAACTGGTATTTAGACGTGCAGCATTACCTTTGTGAAATTCAGCTGAGTGATCATGACTGACAGTTTCTGAGATCCGAACACTCCCAAATAAAGCTTTATCAGAGGGCCTCTCCTGTAGAGTAAGTTGATGCCATCCTATCCCACTCTGAAAAAGAGGGGAGAAAATGAGAACAATATTAGTTATTGTTCCTGTAATCATGAATGAAAGTAACTAACTTGTCTTTGTTAGTTTCAGTTTTGTTGCTTGTTGGTCTGTCTTTTCCCTTGGGTTGCTTTAAGTTCTGTAAAATGTGTTTAGTGTGTATTAAATGCTAGTGGTTAGAGAATAGCTTAGGAGTACTCTTTTCTTAGCTAGTAGCTTCTTTTTTTCACAATTTACTTATTTATTTATGATGGGCTCTTATATAGTCTAGAATAGCCTTGTGCTCATAAAGTAGCTGAGGCTGACCCTGATCTTCTTTTTACTTTTTAAATTATTTCTTTATGTATGTGAATGTTTGGCCTGAATGTATACCTGTGCCCCACTAGTATGCCTGTGGTCACTGTAACCAGAAGAGGATGTTGATGCCCTAGAACTGGAGCTATCATATGGGTGCTTGGGATTGAATCTTCCAAGTCCTGGAAGAATATCCAGTGCTCTTACCCACTGGTCTCTCCAGCCCCTGGCCTTGTGCTTCTGACTCTTCTGTCTCTGCCCCCAAGTGTCAGGTATGCAGACATGCACCACCATGCCAACTTCCTTTTTCATAATCTTAATTGTGGTATTCTGACACTTGTGAATTTTAATTGTCTGCATTGTTAAATTTGTGTCATGTTATCCCATTCTTTAATTTTCATAAACAGTGTCATAAGCATGTGTTTTATTTATTGTTATAATTTATGTCGTGTTTTCTATTCAGAAAACTGTTTCTGGCAGTCATGATTGATCATATTTTATCGAGATTTAGTCTTGAAGCATACAACTGTTCAATATTGACACTTGAGATTTCATAGGATTTTTACAATCATTTTCATCAAATGAAATATTCTCATTGTGATGAGTGTGTGTATTTTTTGACAGACAAAAATTAACTGAGAGGATTGAAAGGATCTGTAAGTGTCTTAGTAGAGATTCTTGTGGGTGTGTGTTCCTCTTGCTGTTGTTTGTTCAACCCAGAGGGTCGTTCTTATCATGACATGGGTGCCCCAAGAGAACACTCTCTGGGTAAAACTGCCAGTGCTTTTCAGTTGGTCTGTCGTTCTACACAGGCACGTGTTTTGTTCAGTTGTTGTGTGGCTTTGTATAACTGTCCTCAGATCAATTGGCTGTTGATTGGGGAAAAGGGGGGCAGATGTTCATGGAGCCATTCTGGATTGTGCTGGGAGGTTGTTCTTGTAGTCATTTGCCTTGTGTTGGTTCCAGGGAAGCTGCCCGGGAGTGTCGCAGGAAGAAGAAAGAATATGTCAAATGTCTTGAAAATCGTGTGGCTGTGCTTGAAAACCAAAACAAGACCCTCATTGAGGAACTCAAGGCCCTCAAAGATCTTTATTGCCATAAAGCAGAGTAACTGTGTTTGACTTGGACCTTGTTTACTGTGAACTCTAATCGAGGCAGGCGATGCAGCATCCTCCTAATGGCCATGTGGACTTGTAGATGGGTCACTTAACCCTTGCTTAAGAAACCAGTTTGGCTTAGGGTGTGAATTGGGAATACTGTTCCATGGGCTGCAATGCAGCTCTGCTCACATCACCAAGCTTTCTCTGTTGTCAATAGCATGCAACATATGTTTTGTTTGCCCTTCTGCTTCTACTTTTTCCAGGGAAGCTGCTAAAGAATGTCGACGTCGAAAGAAAGAATATGTAAAGTGTCTGGAGAGTCGAGTTGCAGTGCTGGAAGTTCAGAACAAGAAGCTTATAGAGGAACTTGAAACCTTGAAAGACATTTGCTCTCCCAAAACAGATTAGTAGAAATATTTAACTATGAACTGATTACAGCATGTACAGTTGCTTTTGAATGCAATACAATATATAGCCGGCAAGAATTATGGCCTTTTCCTTTGTATCATTCATCTGACTTTCTAATATCTAACATTCCTAAAATGCTTCATTGTATTTAAGTAGCTCTTACCTCTAAGGTCATTTTTTTTTTTTTTTAAGAAGAGACAAACTGTAAAAAAAAAAAATGTATGTAACAAATTCTTAAAATGAAATATTTGTAAGACTTGTTTCAGTGCAACATATTTGCAGTTCCCAGTCTCTCTGTCATGAATAGTGTCCTATGCAATAAAAATGTTGCAGATTTTAAGAATCATTTCAGGAAAGGATGATCAAAGGCAGTGCATCCAGCAGTACAATAAAATCAAACCACAGACATACCTCAGGAAAGAATGAAAGGATGTGTATCTTAATGACATGGCTATGCGAGAAGAATAGCCTAGAAATGAACTTGTGCATTTATAGATTTTATAATCGTCACTTTGTAAAGAAAATATTGTATTGCTGTCCTTGAATGCCATAGTTGAAGACAGTTTTCAATAGAACCATGTTGGTTGCTCTTTGTAGTATTTGGTGTTTATTTAAATATCTGAACATTCACTACAGCTTTCTACTATGTGTGAAGTACCAGTAATCCTACAGAAGTTTTCTCTGCGTCTCTCTTAACTAATGAAAGAGAGAACATATTTGTAGTATCTGGAATGAGTTCTAGGAGTATGAACTTATTGCTACACTGGGTTACAAGCCATGCAAATGCTAGGCCATTTCATCAGAAGAACAACTGCAGGACTCTAGGGACAGAGTTCAGTGTAGAGCAGTTGTTAGCATGTGCAAGGCTCCATCTTTAGTCAATAGCACTGTAACAAAACTGAATGGCATTTGAAAGGGAAGGCCTAGAGCTCTGCACATGGGTGGGAGGCTGAGATCAGAGTTCAGTGTTTGTGCTGCGCTAGGCTTCCTGCAGACATTCTGGAAAGTTCCTGCTGTTAACCCTTCATTGTGAATTACTGCTAGCAATCTCAGGTATGTTAACATTTAAAAGACAACCCAAGAGTTCATTTTTTAAATCTACAATGACTTGAAGTCTACCTTGGATAAACTTTTTTTTTGTGTGTGTTTTTGGAATGCAGCTGTATGCATTTATCATGTTGGTCCAGGCTGACCTTGAACTTACAATCCTATTGCCTCAGCTTTCTGACTGCTTGGATTACAGACATGGGCCAGAATGTCCAGTTTGATCAGCTATTTTTTTTATAAAATATTTATTTCTTTTTAATTATGTGTGTGTATGTGAATGCAGGTGCCCAAGGAAACCAGAAGCATCTGATCCCTTGGAGCTAGAGTTACAGATGGTTATGAGCCCCCCAACCAGCGTTCTTGGAACTGAACCCAGGTCCTCCACAAGAGCAGCACATGTAAACAGCTGAGCCATTTCTCGAGCCCCATGATAAAATACTCTTATGACAGAATATTCAGATGAAATTTATTAGAGTTGAGATAGCTACACTATTACTAGTATCTATAGCTTGTCTGCTTATATAATACTCACCATGTAAGCCCAAAGCTCTAACATGATTCCATGACATCTCATTCACTCCCAGTTATTGGCAGTGTATTATGGGCTAGAGTCCACTGTATTCTCTGCTGTTGGCTTCAGATTTGTTAAGAATCTGCCCCACCTCCCTTGGTTTTGATAGTAGATCTGGCAATAAGTGTAGAGCAGTATAAAAATAGGGGGTGGTAGCACCCAGTTGCTGCTTCCATCGTGTCTTTTATATATGTAACTTCCAAGATGTAGGTGTCCTAGTTTGGTTTTGTTGTCATGATAAAATACCCTGACAAAAACAATTTAGGGGGAAAAGGGTTCATTTTAGTTCACAATTCCAGGTTGTATAATCCATCAAAAGAGGGAAGTCGAGGCAACAGGAATTTGAAGAGGCTAATCACATCCACAAAGGAGCAGAGAGAGAATGTGTGCACGGTTGTGAGAGTATTCTCACACAGTCCAGGACTCAAACCCACGGATGGTGCTGTTCACAGTGTATCCATTAACACCACCAAGGCAATCACACACACACACACACACACACACACACACACACACACACACACACACACACGCCAACCCGATCTGGGTAGGATTTCACTGTGACTTTCTCACCAGCTGATCCCAGACTGCGACAGTTTGACAAAGTAACTAGCACTGGGACTAGAGAGATGGCTCAGCAGTTAAGAGTACTTGCTGCCTTTTCAGAGGACCTGTACTTGGTTCCCAGCACCCACACAGTGGTCAGAACTGTTGATAACACCAGCTCCAGGGGATCTGATGCCACCTTCTGACCCCTGTAGGCATCAGGCATGTATGTGGTACACATACATACATGCAGGCAAAACATTCATACACATGAACATAAATAAATAAATATTAAAAAAAACATCCTAGCCATCATAGTAGGAACTGCCCATTTGGGCTTTATTTTAAATTACCTTTCCTGTAGTGCCTCAGCTTTAAATCTCTTTTACCTCTGTCATTTCTTCTAAAGTAAGTTGAGGAGACAATACACAAAGAAAATTGGAAAGGAAAACCCTAGGTTTCAGGTGAAGTAAAAGTGCATCACACTTCCTCCTGCAGGGACTGTTCTGTTAGTGCAGTCATCTGTTCAGAGTGCTAAGCATGAAAAGAAAGATGCAGGAATTGGAAGACAAGATGTGGAAGTATGAGACAGCTAGGACCATGGTTAGAGTTAGAGAAGCAGTCTGCAATTAAATAGGAGGCTTCATGTAGGAGGTTGGTTCTGACCTTGGAGTGCTGGGAAAGGAGATTCCAGATGGAGTGCAGAACTTGCATTTCACCTCAAGCTGGCTTTCTGGCTGCAGGCAGGTAAAGTTAGCACTCCTACATTTACAAAATAGGAGGTGAATGTTTGCGCATGAAAATGTGACACTATTTCCGAGGATAGGGACTAGTCACCCACTCAGGGCCAGTGGCCTACATAGTAAGGGTACATGCTTACCTCACAAAACAAGCCCACATTCAGGAGATCCCACAACTTGTTTAATTCAGTCAGGAGAGTACCACTGAGGGATTATCTAGGTCCAATTGGCCTATGGGCATATCTTGGAGGGGGGTCTTAACTGACTTAATTGATAGAGGAAGACCCAGTATGAAGGTGGGACACATGATCTCCTGGTTTGGTTCCTGTATCAGAGTAAAGAAAAGGAATTGAGCACAGACCCACATGAGTTCATTTTTCTCTGCTCTTGACTGGACATGATGTGTCCATCTGAAGTTTCAGCCCTCTTGACTTCCCTGTTCTGATGGACCATAACTTTGAATTGTGAGCCAAGACAAACTCCTTCTTTTCAGTTTTTGTCAGGTTATTTTAGCGCAGTCACAGAAATGAAACCAAGACAGAAACCAATAGCAAGCACATGGGCTTGCTTCTGTGACAAACCTGACCACATGGCCTTTAAGCTTCAGAACTGTCAGGGAAAGGTGGAAGCCTCTGTTATGTTGGACTAGAAAAGCCATTAAGTTCCGGAAGAAGAGATCCGTGGGAGCTTGGAAGACAATACTCTCTTGATAATTAAAACTTACACACAACTCTAAAGGACACACATGAGACTGTGAATGGTGTGTATGGGTGTATATTTGTTATATAAGGGATATACTTTTTATTAGGTTTTGAGAATTTTATAAAATGTATTTACAGGCTCCCCAATTCCTCTCAGCTCTACCTCCTCTTTTCTACCACCCAATTTTGTATCCTTAAAAAAAAACTATCAACTACAGTTTGTGTTACCCATATACTTTTTGTAAACAAATTTTTAACCTTTATTATTATTTTTTGTATGAGGTTGTTTTGTCTGCACATGGGTATTTCTGTGCCCATTTATGTGCATGCAGTGACTTTGGAGGCCAGAAGAGGTCATCAGATTCCCTAGAACTGCAGCTATTGATGGTTGCAAGCTGCCATGTGGGTGCTAGGAATCCAGCCCAGGTCCTCAGAAAGAGCAGCCAGTGCTCTTAACCACTGAGCAGTATCTCCAGCTTCCCCATATATTCTTGAGTGTTTGATCTTCTATTGGAACATTGTTGGCATACTAGGAGCCACATCATTAAAGAAAATTGACTCTCGATAGCCCGGTGGCTGCTGGTAACAATAGCTAGGGTGAGAGTCTGTGTCACCTCCCCTCTCCATTCTGGGAATTTTGCCTGGGTTGAATGTGTGCAGGACATGTGCATGCAGTCACAACCACTATGAGTCCATATGTGCAATTTGCCTTCTGTGTCTAGAAAACACAATGTCTTTATAAGTTACTGCTACCTCTGGCCTTTAAAATCTCTCTGCCCCCTCTTCACCTTGGGAGAAGAGGATGTGATATATGTTTGCCATGTAGGGCTGAGTATTCTGAAGTGTCTCATTCTCTGTACCTTGAGGAGTTGTGGGTGTTTGTGTAAATTTCATCTATTGCAAAAAGAAGCTTCTCTGAGGAGGACTGAGAGATGCACTAATTTGTGAATGTGATGATAAGTCACTAGGACAGCTTTACACTATGACTGTTATATGAGTAATAGTAGTCGGTTCTCCTCTGTGACCCATGCGCCTTCTTGCCCCAGGTTCTGTGCTATGGAGGAGGTCTTAAATCTAACCACAGAAAGGTTGGTTACTCCCATGACATTCCTGTGACGATTCCACCAATGGGCCTGCCTTGAGTGAGGGCCAGTGAGGGCCGGTAGACCCCTAAACTTTATTGGATATTGCCACCCGTTCTCTTGGTTGCCCTCCAGGACTTGATGGTACGACCCTCTTACTGCAGATTCTACACATTATTAGTCAGAGATCATGGAGAAATCAAGTTGATAACTACCCATAAGCTTCATTTGGACTGGCTAGATTTCATAGTGCTGGAAGGTGCTGTGCATGCTACCATGGAGAAGAGTAATCATTACTCTCATGGAACGCTGAATCCTGTGAGCCACAGTATATTTTAATCTATACACTTGATGACTTTTTCTATGTAAACTATTTTCTCATGTGTGTACTTCATATTATGTAAGATTTTACAGGGGGTGGGGCAGAATCTTTGCTATTAGCTTCTGGATGGCTGGGTATTTGCTGGATAGCTCAAGTTGGCTTCAAACTCAAATGGTTCTTTGACTTCAGCTTCCCGAGTGCTGATTTACAGGTGTGTTCCACCACACCCAGTATTCTAGGAGCTTAATGCACAGATTGTGTGCATGTTCTATGGAAATCAGAATCCTGCACAAGCCAACTAAACATACTACTACTGAACTACACTCTGCCCCACAAACCATTTTCAGTATAATACTGTTTGCCGGGGACTACTGTGTGACAGTTTAATTATGAGTTCTTCACACACTAATTCTATTAGGGGCAGAAAATGATGAGTGAAGTAGAAAATGAACTGTGCTTTGGAATACACAATTGTACTTGCTCAAATAAAATGAGCTCATGCTATTTCTAAGGTGGTCTGCATTTTTAAAAGGATGAAGAGAATTTTTCCTTTTAGAAGTTTTTTTTCTTAAAGAATACTTAAGGCC